AAAGTTCATGTCCATGGTTCTGATCAAAAAAACGAAAAAACGACTTTTTGGTAAAAGCACTTCTGGCGGCGAGAAATTCGCCATTAAAACTACCTGTGCAATGAATTTCCGAACTATTTTTGCCTCCTCTTTCGAATGGTGCATTTATTTTCACTATCGGAATGATACTTGCCCAGATAATTAGCATTTTTACAATGGAAAATTCCGGAAAACCCGGTTTTTCCTAATTTAAAAAAAATTGAAAAACTGCTCATCTTTTTTTTCTGTTTTTCGGAAAGATCACATCAAAATACACAAGGTCCTTTTTGTTTCATCCAATTACAAATTAATGTAAGCTCGAAGGGGCTTTTTTTCGTTATTTAATTGGACTAATAGCCGAGAATACCGATCAAGGAGAAGCGACAGCTTGGTGTTTTCAGTGTACCGTTTTGTAACGCGCATGTGCGAAAATAAGTTGTAAAATTATGCTATCTATCAAAGTCAGTCCAAGTTGTATTTAGTACGTGAGCAATGTTAAGTGATATTTTTTGGTGTTTGTTTTGTGTAGTAATAAGATGAAGATTTTTACACACTTAGGTATTCTTATACAGATATAAAATGTGCCAAAAAAGTTATTATAAAACTAAGAATTTAATCACATGCATAAATATTAAGTATGATGATTTAATCATTTTTGACATTTTATTTTTCATATGTAGGTATTGTATTTTGTGAAATATATGTTTTTCTTCTTTTAAATAAATTTAATAAACAATGAACTGCAGATTTTGTTTATTTTATTTTGAAATTATATTTAAGAAAATATAATAAATTCGCGTATTTCAATTAGGATTGGTCAAAGTGGGCAAAATCCCTTTATTATGGCTAAATTGTAAGTTACAATTATGTCAATATAAAGATGTTTTGCCCATTCATATTTACATTTATTGAATGAATCATACTGGAGTTGATTTTAAAAATATTGGTGCATACTTAAATAAGTACTATTTCTAAAAATTCGTCTATGCACACATAGTCCAATGGACGTCCACTTTAGATCTATTTGAGGGTCAGGACTCCATATCCGGGCATCCAGTGTACGTCCGTTTATGCTAATTAAATTGACAGCTGAATATCGATACCCAGAAAACGTCTGTTTTTGGACTTAATTTTAAGTTCAGTAGTATTTTGACGTCCAGTGGACGTCCATCTTAGGTCATTATTTATTAAGCCTACCAGATAATACCCATCTATATATACTTTTTTTTTTATTATAACTGGTCATTAAAAATTGAAAAATTGAATCTATTGCATTTCATTGTATCAGCGGAAGTTTGAAATCTTATTCAATTATAACTGTATCTAGTAAACAGTTTTCAAGTGGTTCTTTGGTCGAGCTCGTCTAGCGGTTGAAAGCGTAAAAAAAATGGATGTGTCGTGAGTTCGATTCCTGCTCAGGTTAAGCGATTTTTAATAAAAAATAAATAAATGGTGTATAGCGATTTGCGAAAATAATAAACAAATTATTAATAATATAAAATAGTGTGTGGTGAGTTGCAGTTCTGTAAAAAAGTGGGGATGTGGTCTCAATGGAAATATAATCCTGGACGTTTTTTGAATGTCCAGTATTCGACGTCCAAATATATTCCAGAATTGGACGTCCTCTGAATGGTCAAAAGATTTGTATACTTCACTGGACGTCCATTGGATGTCGGAAGTCCAGAAAACTCATTTTTAGACGTCTAGACATCCAAAATTGTATATCGAATGGACGTCCAATGGACATATTTGTTTGTCAGGCCAGGTATTTAACTCTAAATACATAAACCTTAAATAACATCTGGTTTAACTTGGCGAGAAAACACTTGTTTCTACAGAAATAAGTGATAAACTTGAAAGTCCTTTTAATATAATATAAATCTAGAAATTCTAAAAATATGTAAGTACTTTTTAAGGTTAAAAGCTTTGAAAATATATGCACATTGCAAATATTTAGTTAAACCTCTCAAACTTTTTGTCTTTTTAATTGTTACCTAAATTTTTTTTGACACCCTTAATTTTATTTACCTTATTTTTAGTTAAGGAAAAGGTAATTTAATTTAAATATGGGGCTTTTATTACATTTTTAACAATACATAAACCAAATATTAAACAAATTTTATAGATAAATTATAAAATAATAAACGTCTTTTACTTTTATAATAAATAATTAATTATTACATAATGAATTATATTTTGGTGCCGAAATTTCAGCATTGCTATTAACCCTAACTACTTCAATGTAATTAAAACACATTGTAACATTTGCGCATGGACTATAACAATAATTTCAGATAATTTGCCAAACTATTTCGCTCAGTGTAGAAAATAAGCATGTTTTCTCAGCGTGCTAAGTTGTGTATCAGTCAAAGTCATACTGTGAAAAAGGTACATCCGATATCAAAGGCACCGACAGCTACTGTCGCTTCTCCTTGATCGGTATTCTCGGGTTTATAGTTGAAGAATTAGTTGTCTTACTCGGACCAATTGGATGTTCCAAAATAACACCCACTCCAGGGATACAATTTCAAAATGCGCAGATGACTGCTGTTGGAATATAGGCGGTTGTTACATTGTATTGGTTACAGTAAGAGAGCCCACTGAAAATTTCGACTGTCATCTGATAACGAAATGAAATATGCTCAAAGGCATGTAACAACATTGTACTTTACCAAATGCCAATTATATTCTGAGCAAAATGGTTAAAAAAAAATATTTTAAATTCAAAACATCACATAAGACAACAGAGTGACAATTGTTTTTCCCGAAAATTACAATGTAATTCACTGTGAACCTAGCTTTTAAACCTGAATTATTAATATTTTTACCTACCTTTTGTATGTGTGAAAGGTTTGTCGTTTCTATGACAACCTATAAAAATGAATCGCAACAATAGGCTACAAATAAATTTTTAAATCAGCAAAAATTGATTCAAATTTTTAATGATTTTTACCTACTTATCGTGGATATATGTTTTTGTGCGATGTTAAGAGTAAGAAAATGTTTCCCTTTAACTATATATTTGAATTTGTTATTTTCTGGAAAACTTTAACAAAATTAGTGCTGTCATGTGATTTTTTTAATGTAGAATATTTTTTTAACAGCTTTGCTCAGGATTGGGATTGACACAGGTGCCATTTGGTAAAGTACAATGTTTTTGCATGCTTTTGGGGTATATTTAATTTCGTTTTCAGATGACGGTAAAAATTTGCAGGGGGCTCTTGGGCTATTATGATTTGATTCTGTATGCGCCAGGGATACAAATCCGAGTTGTATACACTGGAACAGTAAGATCAAAAGTGCCGAGGCAGAGTCAGCGAACTGATTCTTTAGGTATAAACTGTGACAATAGTATCACTGTGAATTAGTCTATAAAGCAGGTAAGTAGGTACTTGATTAGACAATAATTTGTTATAAAATGCAGATGTGGCATGCCAAACATTTGATAATAAAATTCATTCATGTTGAATGTTTATTTTCTAAATCTCAAAAAAATAGTAAGCCTATTGAAACCAGTGGTGTTACAGATTTTTTAACTTTCACAATCTCAAAAACGAAGCAACTCCGGACATATGTTCATAGGAACTGTTTTTCATAAAATGACCCGAGAAATCACCCTCTGAAATTTCGTACTGTTGTTAAGAAACACCCAGTATAGTAGTAATGTCAGTAATGATGATACGCCAGTTTAGTGTGATGTCATTTTTGTTACACTGACATTTAATTCTAACCAAACTTTTACAATGATCAATAAATTGACATATCCGTTTTTACTGTGTTAATTTTTTTTCTAAATATTGTTTGCAGGTCATAAAATAGTATATTACATTACGAATGTGGAAAGTGACATTTTTCACACGAGTGGGAAATATTGTCACACGAGACACAAGACGAGTGCGACTATCACACGAGTGTGGAAAATCACTTTTCACACAAGTGATGTACAATATTTTTCCTACGACCACAAAATAATTTCATCAAAAAATGTAAAACCAGGTTATTATTATAATAATTAAAATGTATTTAAAAAAATAATTAACAATAATCGTATTTATTCAATTTTCATATTTTCTAAACAAAAAAAAAAAATAAAAAAAAAACAAAAAAAATTCTGGCCACGCCAGGATTTGAACGCGGTCGCTTGCCAGGTCTTAAATGGCAAAGTTGTTAAGTTTGACGCTCTAACCATCTAAGCTATATGTGTTTAACCAGAATAAAGAGCAAACATATTTTAGTTATTTTAAAATGATTTTAATAATAATTGTTAAAGATAAATATCTAGGATCTAATTTACAACAATTTCAATAATTTAACAATCATATCGATTTTAGTATTAATATGGACATTACAAAGATCAAAATAGAAATTATGCATTTTTGACAGCTGCTGCGGAAAGTAGCATATTCGTACACGGGTGGAAAGTAAATTCTTATTCATACGCGTGTGATATAGGGCACTTTCAATAGGACTATATAGTGTGATATGTGTCACTTTCCTAAGTGGTCCTAGGGAAAATAGTTTAAAGGTATATAATTGGTAACTAAACGATTGGATATTTTATACATGTTATCTACTTTAGGAATATATTTATAGAAGTGAAAAAACGATATAATTTAGGTAAACAAAACGTATTTAAAAAATCTACTCTTACTTTAATTGTCAGTGGACCCATAATTACATCTTGATTAAAATGGCGTATATTGAATAATAAGTCATAAATTAAATCCTTGCGGAATATCAGATATCACGGTATTTATATTCTACTAGTTTTAATCTATTAAGTTGCCGATTCAACAAGTTATGAGAAGATTGCGATTTTTGCGATGCATAATGCAGTTTAGAATAAAATTACTTATAAAATGGATATCAAAAATATTTTCCTACTTTCTTTTTTATTTAAAAGCCTTTAAAATGGCTTCAAATAACTTTTAAGCTGGTTTATTTTGTTTTATTAAACTGATGTTAAAACAATTTAAACTTACCTCAATTATATAGTCGTGCCTGTCACAAGTATCAAACTTTCGCGTAAAAGTAAATTTTGTAACACCGCCTTTCTGATGATGTTTAAATTTATTGCAATCTTGATGTTTGTCTAAATAAAGAATTCCACTTTGAGTTGAATAAGTATCCTAGAAAATTGTAAAATGATAAATGAAAATACAAAATCTAATATGAAAATAATTTTTTCTACACCCATAATGATATTAGTATACTATTGCCATTAACTGAACAAATATATTTTATATCCATTCTATGTAGTGAGAACACTGCAAAAAATAAAATCCACCAATCACAGTTCATATTTTGGTCACCCGACGACTATTATTTTAAATAAGTGATAATTCTGTCAAAATAAATTATCTGCATATTTTTTTAGTTATTGAACTTAAATATCCCTTAAAATGACTCATTTTTGTGTAAAATTGATAAATAATAGCACTTCTTTTTATTTAAACTATTATTATACATAATTTGTTAATTTTAATAAAACTCTATAAAGTCAATTCAATTAAGAGTATTTAAAAAAACTCCAAATTCTGCCAGTAGACGGGTGGTGAGAGTATCTGCCTTCCACGCAAGAAACCCAAGTTCGAGCCTCGGCTGGGACTTTTAAATTTAATTTTTGTTTTTTGTTTATTTTATTTTAAAAATTATTAATAGTCATAAATTATTTTAAAATTAGTTATTTTGTCTTAATAACCTAAAATATTTTTTTTATTTGTAAATTTTCGTTAGTGGATTGTCCACATCGCACAGACGATTGAGCACTATGCCTACGGCGTCGTGCTTAAATTTCGTCTTTGTGCGACGTAGCCATCATATCCACTCTTGTTGCATGAACTACTAATTTTCTACGTCCATATTATCTATTCTACACACAGACTACAGAACGAAATAGTTGGCCATTGCGTTCTACTAAACGAATATATTTCATGTCCATTCTAGTAAGATGGATATGATATCCACCAATCACAGTTCATATTTGGTATTATGATTTTTTAAATTTGAAATAAGTGACACTCCTGTCAAATAATTGTCAGTATATTTTTAAGTTATTGAGATTAATTATAATTTGAGTGATTCTTGTGAAAAATCGATAAATAAAAGCATTTAGCAAGATATTCGTCTATATTTTCAATTATGCTTCACATCCTTGTTAGTGGAAATAAAGATAACCATGTAGTATACCTATGTTAAGCCGCTGACCCACATGTTCAGATTTAAAATTTATTTTATATCGCTGCCTGCCTAAATTACACATTACCAATTTTTGTGTCGTTCAGACCGACTACATTTCCAGCGATTATAAAAACATGGGTAAAAACTATCGAAAACGCAAATCGTCTCAGAAATATGATAAATTAAAAAAAAAAGAAGAAATTCAGAGCACAGGTAGGAAAATAATATTTTTCTTTTTATTTAACTGATTTTTAGCTTGCAGAAGATACCTCTTTATGTGCAAATTTCTGCATTTAGACGACAAATAAATATATAGAGGATACTACTTTATGTGTTAACGGTGTAGTCATTCATAAAATCCGTCTGTAGAAAGAAAAATGCTACTTAATGTGCAAATTTCGCAAAACCTTGATAGTGCAGATACTACTTTATGTGTAAATTCTGCATTATAGACAAAGACATGTACAGAGAAGGCTACATTATGTGTTAACTCTGATCTTATACTAATACAGGTTTGAGAATGTTTTTCTTTATAATTTAATTGATTTTTAGCTTGCAAAAGATACTGCTTTACTGTAAATTTCCGAATTTAGACGACATATAAATATACAGAAGATACATCATTCATATAAGCCGTATGTAGAGAGAAAAATGCTACTTTATGTGCAAATTTTGCAAATTTTTGTGACGGAAGATACTATTTTATGTGTAAATTCTGTAAATAACAAATATATCTACAGAGGAGGCTACTTTATGTGTTAACTCTGATCTTAAACTTATAAACTGCAAACTCGGCTAACTGCAACTCGAAAAATGCTACTTAGTGTGTAAATTGTGTAAAACTTTGGTCGAGAAAATACTATTTTATATGTAAATTATTTAAGCCAAATAAATGTACAGAGAAGGCTACTTTATGTGTTAACTCTGATCTTATACTTATAAGCTGCAAACTCGGCTAACTGCAACTCGAAAACTGCTACTTAATGTGTACATTTTGTAAAACTTTGGTTGAAAAGATACTATTTTATGTATAAATTCTGCAATTAAGCCAAATAAATGTACAGAGAAGGCTACTTTATGTGTTAACTCTGATCTGATACTTATAAACTGCAAACTCGGCTCTGCAACTCGAAAAATGCTACTTCATATGTAAATGTTGTAGAAGTTTGGTTAAGAAGATACTGTCTTATGTGTAAGTTCTGCATTTAAGCCAAATAAATGCACAGAGAAGGCTACTTTATGTGTTAACTCTGATCTTATACTTATAAACTGCAAACTCGGCTAATTGCAACGCGAAAAAGGCATCTTAATGTGTAAAGTTTGTAAAACTTTGGTCGAGAAGATACTATTTTATGTACAAATTCTGCATTTGAGCCAAATAAATGTACAGAGAAGGCTACTTTATGTATTAACTCTGATCTTATACTTAGCCCAGCTAACCGCAACGCGAATAATTCTACTATTCTACTTAATATGTAAATTTCGCAAAACTTTGGCCACGAAAGATATTTCATATGAAAATTCTGCATTATAAACAAATAAGTATACAACGGAGGCTGCTTTATGTGTTAAATCTGATCTTATAATTATAAGATGCTAGCCCGGCTAACCGCTATGCGAAAAATGCTACTTAAAGTGTAAACTTCTAAAAACTTCATGTGGGCTAACTTAACTAATGATAAGAAGGTCCTAAGATATGCTAAAGATTTTAAATTAATCTTTAAAACACGAAAGAACTTCCAACAAAGGATGTTTTCTCTTAGAGAAAAAACTAACCTACACACTTCAATTAAAAAAAAAAAAAAAAATAAAACTAAAGAATGCAACAGGTGTTTGCTTGCTAAAGAAAATTAGTTAGGTTCTCATATTTTCCATATGTTTTTGCAAACAATTTAAAATATGTAGTGCATCAACTAAGGCTTTTGCAAATAACCTTAATGATTTCCTAGTTACATAATTACATCTAAATCTACTGATGAATGTCTCAAACATTGTAATACAACGGTTAAAATTCACTATGGCTCATCATAAAAAAAAATAAAAAAAAAGTGTTTTTATCTAAAGTGTGCGAGAACTCGATTGTTACGTAGTTGATGCATTTCTTGCATAAGTACTAAAATTAAAAAGACCAAGCAGAAGGCATAGTGATTGTACCAAAATGGGAAACTCAACCATCCCATGCTACAAAAAAAAATGCTTTTTACGGTACATGTCAACATTAAACCTAGTTATTCACTGCAGCAAACCTTCATTTAGAACTTCTTATAACCAAAGTTCTGCCCTAGTTCTCATTATAAATAGTCTAAAAAAAAATTAGGGAATTTCTGCCCTGACTTTCATTATAGAAATTCTAAATAATAAAAGAAAATGTATATTAGGAAATTTCTAAAAGGGTCATCCTGTTTTGCCAAAATGTATTCAAACTTAAGACCAAAACAGAGTTTTAAAATACTTTAGTAGTTTCTTTCACTTGAAAAACTTAAAACAGCTAAGAGCCAAACTTGTTATGCTTGCAGCCCAACGCGTATAGGCTTTCTCAAAAATTAAAGTTGAAAAAGTCAAGGCGGAAGCTGACGATATACAAATTTTCATTGACGAAATGCTAAAATTTCGACTCCACAATGAGCTCAGCCTTTATTAGTATTTTTATTTTAAAGGGAAAAATAAAAAACGTCTTCAGGACCTTTTATTCTAACCACTAACGCTCCAGTCCTTCTAGTATCTCCCCAAACTATTGGGTGGGTAGCTCAAGCACTTACTACACATACGTATGTACCTCGACCATCCTCATAATCTGCGTCGATATCAAAACCATTAGAAAAACTGTAGGACGAAGAGATCAGTAGTGTTTAACAAGTTTTACAATTAAGACGTAAAACCAACGTTCGCAAAAGTATTGAAAAATTATAAAACTGGATTGTTGAAATTCAATATTGTTCTTTGTTACGTTTTTAATGATTAATTCATTAGTATTATTATTAATTATTATTGTTCATTTTGTGAAAAATTTATAGTAATATTTTTTGCATATTCTATTATACATTTACGTAGAAAGCAAAAATCTAGTTTTATTTTGAATAGAACATCCTCTAAACAACTACATGGTTATCTTTATTTCCACAAACAAAGATGTGAAGCATAATTAATGGATCAAACGACTTAACCTGAAGGAAGTTCGATCCTAATTATGCGAGCATCCTTGTTAGTGGAAATAAAGTCCCACCTCCACCATATTACTTTATAATATTATTTTTAACCCCAAACTCCTAGGTTCCACAGCAGGTGAGTAATTTAGGCAGGCAGCGATATAGAATAAATTTTAAATCTGAACATGTGGGTCAGCGGCGTAACATAGGTATACTACATAGTTATCTTTATTTCCACCAACAAGGATGCTCGCATAATTAGGATCGAACTTCCTTCAGGTAAGTCGTTGGATCCATTAAATAAATCGTAAATTTTTATAAAACTATTTAAAATCAATTTAAGCATAAAACAGGAAACTCTTTGACGCAGAAGTAAAGTACTGAGATGCCATGCGAAATGTCAGGGATTCAAATAAATTAGTAAAAATCATGAATTATTTTTGAAATAGTTATTTTCTCTTAATAACCTCTAAATTAATTTTTAAAATTTGTAAATTTTTTTAGTGGGTCGTAGAAAAAATATACTGTGAAACTCGAGTAGATTGTCCGTATTGCATTCAGAAGATTAAAAACTTCTCCCACGGCGGCGGCGTCGTGCTCAAACTGCGTCTTCGTGCTCAAACTGCGTCTTCGTGCGATATGGCCATCATATCCACTCTTGTTGGGCAATAGCCATTTGTGTATTAAAAGCGGAAAGTGATACTTTGTCGATTGAGACAGAAAGTTGCACGCGAGACGCGTAGTGGAGCGTGGAAATCTGTTGAAAGCGGCAACGAACTTTTCGCTTAAAATACAAAAAAAAAAATTCTATAATCATATTGTTTGAAGATATAGAAATACAAACTGAATATATCATATGAATCTTTCTAGTGAATGTTGATTACACGTGCTAATTTAAATAAGACTAAAGAATATACTGACAATTAGTTTCACAGAATAACACTTATATAAAATTTTAAAAATAATAGTAGGTGACCAAAATATGAACTGTGATTGGTGGATTTTATTTTTTTGCAGTGTTCTTAGTAGGTAGAATGGATATGAAATATATTTGTTCAGCTGAACGCAATGCCATACTTTTTTGTTTTGTAATCTGTGCGCAGATAAGCTAATATATCCATGTGGGGGTAAAAAAATACTATTTTTAGTGTCAGCGGACCCAAAGTTGTTACGTGTAGTATGTTCAAAGTAACTATCTAGAAGCTTTCTGTAAAATTTCAATAGTATCATTGTATTTAGATAGCCTAGTAGAATAACCTTACGGACGTTTCATTGGAGGTAATCCTGACGCGACATCTGTTGGAACAACTACAGAACTTAGCCCGTGCGCTAGCGCCGCCTCGATCATTGAGTATAAAATTCTAAATACATTATCTTTTCTTTAGTTTTATATTTATTTGTGTAGATGGCCAAATCTAAATGAATATGGTTATATTCATTAAAATTATGATAAATCGTAAATAAATTTACATCAAAAATTAAACTCGTATATTTAATTTTCAGAACAAAATATTATGTCCATAATTAATCGACTATCGGTCCATCTTTTAGTAAATAGAGAAATTACGTTGCCTATTAATTTAAGACAACCGTTCGGTAGAAGACGACATGACTTGGCTTGCTGTCATCTATTGCTACTGTCCATTGTATTCCAAGATAATTTGCATTGGGATTGTTCTACTAGGATATCTAAATACAATGATAGTAATAGCCCTGTTTGGACGATAGGGTATAATATTACCCAATATCTACTAATACCTACATGTGTTTAGTAGAAACAAAAAGATTTAAACTAGAGCTCCCACCAAAATATTGACACTTTCAAAGGCCAGATATGATCATTTATACTTAATAAATTTTGGAGAATTTGTTTTCATCAATTGGAACCACTTAGGTGGTGCTCTATTTTTTATGACTTAGAAAATCTTACCTGTAGGGAGACTTTCCCTTTCACATTTTTCCATAACAGACAATAGTCAGCTGGATAAAGATTCCCTCTGTCGGAAAATCCTACTGCGAACCAACCATAGTCGGAAGGAAGATGAATTTCAAAAATTACGTTACTATAACTATAATCCAAAATCCAATGAAGATTGATGGAGCTGTCACCGTTTAAACTGACGTTAAATATTTTTTTCTCACTACCTAAAATAAAATGTATTAGGTATAATAGTTGTACGGATCAAGGTAATTTATTTGAAACTAATAAATGTATAATTATGAAATTGTAGGGTGATGAATGGGATTGTATTCTGTATTTTTTAGAGAACGTCAAATTTATATGAGGTCAGCGTTTAGCGAACCGCCACCATCTTAAATTTTTTAAATGCCAATGTAGGTCGAATGACATTAGAAAATAGTTTATTTTTTTCCTCTTTTCAAGAATACCTAAAAAAGTACCAAATTACTAATGTAATACAGTCCCATTCATCAACCTAAAATATCATGTTACCAGCCTTTTTCGCTACTCTGTATGTATTTTTTAAAAAGAGATGCATCAAAGATAACAAACTGTACCAATTCATTTTAATTATTACACCTTTATTTTACATTTTCAAAAAATAAATAAAAAAATGTTTAACTTTTCCTTCATAATAAAACAATACATAGTTTCTAAAAAAAAAAAAATTGGTTTTATAGAAGCTCTGTCAAAAAACTATGTAGTGTAATGTGAACCATTTCATTATTCAGTCATGCTCTATCCTCCAAGTCCCTCTCTGTCTTATTTGGCCTTTGAGGCTTAACTTGTCCGATTATCATACATAATTAAACCCCTTAAGACCAAACATATGTGACAACTTTGGCGGAGGAGCTTTCGATGACTATTCGAGAAAGAACGGGATAATTGGTGAACATTTTGAAATTTTGTAAGTCTCTATTATCATTATTTTGTTTTTGACATACTCTTTATATTTTATTTAAAAGCTTCGATATTTTGCTGTTAAATAAAATGATTACGATTATAAAAGTGTGTTGTTGCATAGTTGTAAAAAATTTGGGTGTTTTTGAAGAAAATAACTCGAATTGATGCAGTTTTAGACACAGTTTGTGGCTACATTTTAAATGATTTATCTTTAAGGATATTTTTGTTTGTGGTGGTATTTAAAGTAAAACCGTAATGATATTTTGCATCCATTGAACCAAAAATGTAATTGCTTTGTTTTTTGACTTGTGGCGGTTTTTGATTGAGCCATCGATATATCTACTTTGGAAATCAAGCATAAAATTTGTAAAATTCAAACAAATTTCAATACACTAACATTGGTTGTTTTATTTAAAACAACAAAGTAAGGCATATTTTTTAATTTCTATATAATTTTCTTTAATTAATAATAGGTAAACAAGTTATCCATTTCTTTTTTATTCAATGTATTGAGAAGTAAAATCTTTTTATATAAAAATATAATTTATGCTCTTCTAATAAATTGTCATATTTAGGTTACATTATAGCACTTTATAAATATCTATGCAAAAAAAGTTAAAAGGCTTGATTTAAAAAAGATATATCTCTGCGTCTTAGGTAAGAAATCAGCGAACTTAGCTATCCTCTAGTAATCTAATATAATAATATGTACCTAGTCATTGTTGTATTCGTTTATTATTTTTCACCAATCTAGCTTTATCATCGTTCACCATTTAAGGTTTTAGTGAACCTTTGCAATATTGGTACCTTATTATACTATTTAGCTAATTTTGTCCAATCGTTCAGTGCTTTCTAGGTAGCTTCTTCTATCCCACATGTGTACTTGTGTTTGTGATATAAGGTGTGTTCTTTTATTCAATAATTGTTCCATCAGTGATTGATGTAATTTATCTATTCTGCAGTCGTTTTATATTTGAACTCTTATATTTTAGGTTAACTTAAATGATTGATTATCCTCACCATTCGTCTATCACATATCCATCGGCTTTTAAAGCCGATGGATGCCTTGGCTCATTGGTGAATTCACCGCTGGAAAAAAGAATGATTGACACATACAATCGTCTTTCCATCACTTAATTTACGAACGGTTTGCTGCAAGCGCTGGATACAGCACTGAATAAAAGAACACACCTACACCTACCTCTACTTTTGTGCTATTGGTACTTGATTTCAAGAACATTTTAATAATAAATTTATATAAATATTTTGTTTTATTTGAAATTTTCATGTCTCGATTGAGATTTTACTATAGCCTCAATTTCAGCCTCTCTGTATTACATTACACAATGTGTGTCCACGGATGGACTTAATTATACTTGTAAAAATATTTATTTTAAATTAAAGAAAAAGTTATTTTTCATAATTTCTCAATGTGAATCGAAATTATTTAACAAGCAAGAAATTATGAAGAATTACTTTTTTAATTTAAAATAAATATTTTCACAAGTATAGTTAAGCCCATCCGTGGACACACTGTATAATGCTGTAGATCTAATTCACATTATAACATCAATAGAACGTTTCAGAGCAACTTTCGGGGTAAGTACCGTAAAAGTGCTAGTGTGATGTTTTTCGAACTTTACTTTGTAACTTCTGTGAGATGTGCTATAAAAGTCTTGCCTTTGCGAACATTCGGTAGTTGCAGGGAGATAAGGGTTACATTTACAGTACATTGCATGCGAGCTTAAAGAGCCTAAAATTGCAGCTTATTAACGTAGATGGGATGTTTTTGTGCTAGCTGGGCTTACTGGTCCATAGTACTTCCGCCAGCATCAACGACGCGTGAGGACTGGTATATGTGTTCCGTAAGAAGTTTGGTCGACTGGTAGAATTTCAATGTCAGTTACCAGCCCCTGGAAAAGCCTTGAAACTTCAAGACGGGTCGTGTTATCTTTTCTATTTAATAATGAAGAACACTTTCCGAGATCGATCCACCTATCAGGATATATGGGAAGCATTACTTAATCTAAGGGAGCACGTACGGGAGTAAAATGTACAGAAAGTAGCCATGCCGAAGATAGAAGGAAATCAGCTGGATTGGAGGATCATTAGGAACATGGTGGAAATAATCTTTCAAGATACCGGAGTCCAAATATTGGTCTGCAGCCATTCGCCTAGTGCCCAGGTTACAGCGAAGACAGTTCCTTGTTACTTCCATGCAACTGGAAATTGTAAAAGAGGATTCAGTTTCAGATACAATCATTCCAGTTTAGTTTCGTAAGAGTTCCAGGAGGGGGCAATGTTATGTGAGTCATTTCATTATTCAGTCATGCTCTAATCCTCCAAGTCCCTCTCTGTCTTATTTGGTTTTTGAGGCTCAACTTGTCCGATTATCATGCATAATTAAACCCCTTAAGACCAGGAATAAATTTAAAAGTCCCGAATGTGGAACATACCGTATATTTGATATTGGTTTTGGGTTACATAGATATGTATTTTTTTTTTTTTTTCATAAAATTTAAAATAGGACATCATTATTATTTCTGATTCATTATAAATTTACTTTTTTCCATGTTCAATGAACGAATGAATACTAACCATAGGTACATAAAGAATATTACTACCATAACGAGAAAATCTTAGTAACGGTGAGAGGATGTAAGAAATGAAGGAGGAAAAGACGAAGAGTAGTTGGCCAAGGAAAATTATATAAAACATATAAACGAACTGGTAAGCAAACGATAGAAAAAACTATAATACAAATGAAACTTATGACTGAAAAAATGGACAAAAGGAACACAGAGTTAGTGAAACAAAAATAATTCGAATGCAGAATGAACTAATGAAATAAAAAAAACTTCGACTTTTAATATTTAGATTTTTGGATACATTAAAATAACATTAGGTAGATAGCCTTGATTTAACACGTAATTATAATAACGACTAAAATAATCAATTCGTCCAAGAAGAATAGTAATTAACAAAAAATATAAAACAATAATATTAGTTCTGTGTCTTTAATGAATGTTTAAAGGTGTGCAGTAAATATTTTTGGATATAACCCAAGGTATGATTTATTAAAAATACTTTTATTATTAGGGGTAGTATTAAGTATAAACATTTTTATTTTTGATTCACATTTTGATGTCATGATTTTATAAAATTATGTCAGTTTAATTTTTCTATATATAACAAGTTGTTAGAAAAATAAAAAAGATTACTTTGACAATATTAAAAAATCGCCCAATTTTGACTGGTCAATCTGTATATTAAAAAAATATCTCATTGAGGAATTCGTAAAAAAAAATTTTTCCGCCTACCTCTATCCAAAGTATACATTTTCTGGCCTCATTGCAGCGAGCAAAGTCGTACTTTTCCTCCCTAGGGAGGAAAAGTCAAAGTGACGTCATGGTATGTAATAAATGAAATAGCTTATACGGCATTGACGACCTAAACTATATTCTATTATATAAGTATACATTTTACCGTTTATTTATAGAACACCCTGTATTTTGCAAAATAGTAAAAATTAGTAAATTGTTATTTTAATTTAACGATTTTTACATTAATAATTTGACTTCAATTCATAGATTCATCCGATTTTTGAATTTAGGACAGAAATATTATAGCATGCTATGGTCGATTGACAGATCAGTTTTAAAGTATGTTACGCTATAATATATCTACAAAATATAAAATAATATTTAAAAAATAAGTGATTCAAGCGAATTTGAAGATATAAATAATACACCACCGGATATTTTGCAACAGGTTAATGCAACAGTACAATCTCTATTACCCCAAAAAAACTAAAGACAAATACGAAAAACAGTATTTACATTTCAAGCAATGGGCTGAAGAAAAGCATATTCGTACTTACTCAGAAAATGTTATTTTGGGGTATTTTTCGCTATTAGCAAATACATTGAAAAGTTTTTTTAATTTAAAATACTTGAAATATTAATTTAACTTGATTTACCCTTTGAAATTATTTTAAATATACTTGACATCTTATAATCGATTTATTGACATTTTAGTGTATACATTTATGGTCTATATTAGTTAAAGTGTTCATGTATCTAATATTTCTCTGCTTTCTTAAGTTTCGTGCACGATTTTTAAATAAAATATGGTTTATTATTCCATCGCAAGAAACCATAAAATAAAAGAGTGACCATTAATGACTAATTTAATATCAAATCAAATTGATTATTGATTTAATGTTAAAACAGGTGACTAAAACATCTAGTAGCCATGGTTATAAGCTTGTATAATAATATAG